TCCATGCTGCCGCCTCGTACCACGCCTCCCGTGTCTGCGACCGCGTCTCCTTTTTCTATGACTGAGACTCCCATGCCGGCAGCCGCACGATGCAAGCAGAGATAGAAGCCGGGTGCACGGAGAGCGATGAGTCGATGGCCAGTGCCTCCGCGTCCGCCGCCATCATCGAGGAGAAGTAGAACACAGGAGGCAGCCGCCGCTTGGGTCCCATGAAGGCCACCGCGGAGGCGACGCCGGCATACACAGCAGGTGTCTTGCCGGATCCTTTTGTTGCGAGGACTGAGGGAGTCCTGGATTAGGGGGTGTTTGGGTAGCCGGACTATACCTTCGCCGGACTCCTCTATGAAGATACAAGATTGAAGACTTCGTCCCGTGTCCGGATGGGACTTTCCTTAGCGTGGAAGGCAAGCTGGGCGATGCGGATATTCAAGATCCCCTACCCTTGTAACCAACTCTGTGTAACCCTAACCCTATTCGGTGTCTATATAAACCGAAGTGTTCTAGTCCGTAGGACAACGACCATCAACTCCATACACAACAATCATACCATAGGCTAGCTTCTAGGGTTTAGCCTCCTTGATCTCGTGGTAGATCTACTCTTGTACTACCCATATCATCAATATTAATCAAGCAGGAGTAGGGTATTACCTCCATCGAGAGGGCCCGAACCTGGGTAAAAACATCGTGTCCCTTGTCTCCTGTTACCATCCGGCCTTGACGCACAGTTCGGGACCCTCTACCCGAGATCCGCCGGTTTTGACACCGACATTGGTGCTTTCATTGAGAGTTCCTCTGTGTCGTCACCTTTAGGCCCGATGGCTCCTTTGATCATCAGCAATGATGAGGTCCAGGGCGAGACTTTTCTCCCCGGACAAATCTTCGTCTTCGGCGGCTTCGCTCTGTGGCCCAATTCGCTTGGCCACCTGGAGCAGATCGAAAGCTATGCCCCTGGCCATCAGGTCAGGTTCGGAAGCCTAAATTACACGGCGGACATCCGCGGAGATTTAATCTTCGACGGATTCGAGCCACAGCCAAGCGCGCCGCACTGTCTCGCGGGGCATGATCTAGCTCTGCCGCCGAACAGTGCCTTGGAGGCCGCAAACACACCGGCTCTGACCCTTAATTCGGAGCCAGCTGCGCCAATCGAGGATGAGCGGTTGGACGTCACCTCGGGGGCTGCGATCTCAAAGGTGATTGAGCCGAACGCCAGCCCCGCACTCCGTGTGACTCATGACTCCGAGGATCCGGACTCCTCTCAGGATTCCGAACCCCCCGCGCCCCTGCCGATCGATTCCGATTGGGCGCCGATAATGGAGTTCACCGCTACGGACATCTTTCAGCACTCGCCTTTTGGCGATATCCTGAATTCTCTCAAGTCTCTCTCTTTAACAGGAGAGCCCTGGCCGAACTGCGGTTAGCAAGGATGGGATACGGACAATGAAGAAATTCAAAGCCCGCCCACCACCCACTTTGTAGCCACTGTCGAAAATTTAAACGACGTGCTCAACTTCGACTCCATAGACATTGACAGCATGGATGACGATGCAGGAGATACCAATGAACCAACGCCCATAGGGCATTGGACAGCCACCCCATCTCACGATGTGTACATGGTGGATACCCCTAAAGGAAGCGACAACGAGGAAAAAGGGGATGGAACGGGAGATCGACCCCCCGGAAAGCAATCAAAGCGTCGGCATAAACACCGACCCAAGCCCCGCCTCGATAAAAACCCAGCCATAGAGCGGGACGAGCTGGTAGACGACGAGCAGGCCTCAGAGCAACCGTCCGAACAGGGCAACACGGATAGAGAAACCGAACATCCCTCCCCTTGCGAAAATGGTATTCCGGACGAGCTTACACCGGATAAACCCATGGAGAAGAAGAGTCTCCACAAGAGGCTCGTTGCAACTGCACGCAGCCTGAAAAAGCAGAAGCGGAAGCTAAAAACAGCGGAAGATGCACTCCGAATTAGATGGAGCAAAGTAATCAATACTGCAAATAAATATGGCGATGGTCGCCGCACTAAAAGCTATCCGAAAAGAAGGCTACTGCCTGAATTCGACGAAGAGGCCCTAGAGCCCTCGCATTCAAAAAATAAGAAAGCCACACGGTCAGATAGACGACCCCATAAAGCGGCAAGCGGTGCCGCACTTAAAACGGCATGTGACCCACCTAAGGATTCGCATCATGGCCCAGTTAGATCCATTTACGGGCCAAGAAAGCAAGCTCTCGTAAGCAATGCAATAAAGCCATCATCAGAATCCGGCACACCCAAATACAGGGGCGCCGCACACCCCCTATGTTTCACCGATGAGGTTCTGGACTATGAATTTCTAGAGGGATTCAAACCCGTCAACATAGAGGCATATGATGGAACAACAGACCCTGGAGTCTGGATCGAGGACTATGTCCTCCACATACATATGGCCAGAGGAGATGATCTCCACGCCATCAAATATTTACCCCTTAAGCTTAAAGGGCCAGCCTGGCATTGGCTTAAAAGCCTTCCTGAAAACACAATTGGAAGTTGGGAAGAGCTCGAGGATGCTTTCCAAGCGAATTTTCAAGGGACCTATGTCCTCCCTCCGGACGCAGACGATCTTAGTCACATAACTCAACAGCCCGGAGAATCAGCTCGGCGGTTCTGGAATAGATTCCTCACTAAAAAGAATCAGATAGTCGACTGTCCGGACTCCAAAGCCTTACCAGCTTTCAGGCATAACGTCCGAGACAAATGGCTCGCCAGACACCTCGGCCAAGAAAAGCCAAGAACAATGGCCGCACTAACAAGCCTCATGACCCGCTTTTGTGCAGGAGAGGACAACTGGTTGGCAAGGTGCAGCCCCAGCGACCCAAGTACATCCGAAACTAGGGATGGAAACGGAAAACCGCGACGCAACAAGGATCATCGCCGGACTAAGGATAAAAGTCCAAAGAGCACGACAGTTAATGCCGGATACAAAGGCTCACGACAAAGTCAGACAAAACCACCCCTCCAGGATAACAGGGATGATCCATCCAACTTAAATAAAATCTTGGACAGGATATGTCAGATACACAGTACTCCCGGGAAGCCTGCTAACCATACCCACAGAGATTGCTGGGTTTTCAAACAATCCAGCAGACTCAATGCCGAACACAAGGGGCTCGACACAGCAAGCGAAGACGAGGACGAACCCCAAAAGCAGAGCACTAGGAAACAAAAGAACTTCCCACAAGAAGTAAAAACAGTGAACTTACTTCACATAACAAAACATGCGGCGCCCATAAAGGCACGCACCACACGACCTATCCCCAAAGGGTCCCGCCACTGGTTGTCAAAGCCAATCACCTTCGATCAGCTAGATTATTCTAGAAATGTCAAGAATGCAGGCTGGACTGCCTTGATACTCGATCCAATAACCGGCGGACTCCAGTTTTCAAATGTCCTTATGGACGGCGGCAGTGGACTAAACCTGATATATCAGGATACAATCCATCACATGGGGATAAACCCAGCAAGAATCTGCCGCAGCAAAACCTCCTTTCAAGGGGTAACACCTGGTCCGGACACCCATTGCATGGGTTTTCTCCGACTCCAAGTTATATTCGGCTCTACCGATAACTTCGCCGCGAAAAGCTGACCTTCCATGTCGACCCGTTCTCAAGTCGCTATCAAGCACTACTGGGACGCGAAGCTTTCGCTCGCTTTAACGCAATACCGCATTATGCATCTCTCATGCTTAAGATGCCCGGTCCATGGGGCATCATCTCGTTGAAGGGGAAGCACTGAAGTGCGCCTCCCCTAAGCGGAGGACTGTGCGGCTGTTTTAAATGCCTCACAGTAAAATGGCTTCACCAGCCCAAAACTTCGGAAAAGGTCATTAAAGACCACGAACGCGGATGGACGAGTTCGGCTCAAAATTACAATTGACGCAGGCTTAGTGGCCATATACCCCCGCACTAGGAGCTCCGTACTCATGCAATAGAGGACAATAAAGCTCAATTTTATATATTTTACTTTATACATTGTTTATTTCAAACCTTTGTTCGACACGACCCATTTTCAAATCAGTTCCTCTCTTTTATAGATGAACGTCGTGCGGCGCCCGTCCAGGATACGGCACAACGGAGACACAGGCGCAGACGTGCAGTAGGGACCCGTCTTAAGGATTCTTTTTAGATTAAGACCCTGCGTAAACCTTTTTTACTGTCTCTCATTGTTACATATCCCCTGGTTTTCTTTAATATAACCACGGAGGAGGCTGGCGTCTTGGCATGTGGCCACGTCAGAATTCTTGCGCGTACCTGGACACTACGGGCTTTTTTACTAAAGAGTGTTGTTTTGCCCGCACTCATAAAGACCGAACACCTTAGCGAGTGTCCGGCATCTCGAGTTTTGGCATTATATGCATCAGCTCCGAATCATGTCTTTGGTCAAATGTTGGGTTGCCCGGCTCCTGAGTTCGGCTACCTTACGTTCCGCTCAATCGGCTAAGGTAGCACCAGGAGAACTACTGCGATTGTGCCCCGGTTCGGCCGGGCGAGCACCTAAGTAGAGAAAGCCGAAAACTGACTGTCATGATGTAGCGTGAGACTGGTCAGCCACTCGATGACCTATCGGAATCTATCGGATTCCTCCGCTTTAATGAAGGGCCGTTTCCCGGCCAGGCACATACGCGCACCGAACTTGGGCGAGCACAGTCGCCATCAAAGGGCTACCTAAATAGTCCCACTGTCAAGCTCCTATGGCTAAGTGAAAGTGTTAAAGCATTATAGTCCGGTTGCCTTGCCCGCTGCGCTATCACCTCCTTTGTAGGAGCAAGACGTTGGGTTAAGTGTGAAAATGCGTCTTCTGCAAGCACCCCCGCACTACGTGCGTGGGGGCTGAAGCCAACGACTGCCATCTTTCAGATTTTATATATATATTAAAAACGGCCGCAGAGGAGGTGTTTCCAATACTTGAAGGCACAAGTATAAAAGGCCACTACAATATTGCTTTATAATTACATATGTTATCATAAAATAGCATCCTTCGAGCACTGCGTCTCTATTATACGAGCGCCTTCAAGGACTTCCTGAAAATAGTGCTCGGAAGGTACTCGGCTTTTGTCCGAATCTCGGGACGCAACAACGGTGGACTCCATCTCTGCCCAGTATGTTTTGACACGGGCAAGAGCCATCCGCGCGCCCTCTATGCAGGCTGACCTCTTCACCGCATTGATACGTGGCGCCGCGTCAAGGAATTGTTGCACTAAGCTGAAGTAACTCTTCGGCTCCGATCTCCCCAGCCAAACATGACCCATGACGTACTTCATGGCGAGTCTGGACAACCTATTCAGTTTGGCCCATTGGGCCAAACGATTTTCCACTGCAAGTGGACGCTCTGGATTGTGAAACTGCGACCAGAAAAGCTTTTCCACTTCGTGATCTTTTTGATCTCGAAAGTGTTTGGTCGCATCAGCAGCACTCGCTGCCAAATCCAGATAGGTGTCCTCCACACTCCACATCTGGTCCAACGGAGCAAACCTCGGATCGCAAAACTTCTTCCGCGGCATAAATGGCCTTCCAGCCGCAATCTGTCCGGCTTGGCGCAGCTCCTCCTTCGCAGCTCTCATCGCAGAGCGAGCGTCTTTGGCATCAGTAATGGCCTTCTCTAAGTCCGTCCGCCTCGCCCAGTCTTCTTCTTCAAGAAGATTGCAACGGTCAGCAGCGCCCTTTAACTTGACGGCCATCTCGGCCATCTCCTCCTTGCTTCAGCAGTGAGCAGCCTGTTCGGCTTTCAGCTCTTCAAGGGCTTTCTCGGCAGCCGCATCACTTCTTCTGGCTTGTTCCTTAGCTCGGGCAAGTTCTGCCCTAAGACTCTCCACGGCGGCCGCACCATCTGCGTCAAGCACACGCATTGTAAGATACCAGCATGAAGCTCTTCTTACCAAATGCCGCCCAAAGAATTACATACCTTGAGCCTCATCAAGCTGTTTGTTGACAAGCGCGATGTCGGCATCGGCCACGTCCAGTTGCCGCTTTAGTTCGGCAAAATCATCAGTCCGGCTTGATTCCAGACACCCTGCCGCCTACATTCAAAGGCGACATCTTAGACCTGGGATTATGATCCTCCGCGTGCCGTCATTCCTTGACGACGCGCAGAGTCTCAGGGGCTACTATCTACACAGGGCACATCTTATTTATGCGCAACTGACAAAAGTGTACATTATCTAATGTACCTCAAAACCCGTCAGTAAACTTCTGACGGCCTCATGCAATCCGCTTTGTGCGGATGAAATCCTTTCAATCACCGTGCCCATCAATGCACGATGCTCCTCCGAGATAGAAGCTCGCCCCAGTAGAATCTTTAGCTCCTCCGGCTGAGCACCAGACGGTGTCGGACTTGTCCCATGACCTCTTTCGAAGGCCGGACACGGAGAACCTCGGGGGGCCACATAGCCATCTTCCGCCCCTGCCAGATTCGGAGAAACTCTCCGCGACGACACCTCAGGATCGCCCACCTCGCTAGGCGGCACGGCAGGGGAAGGCGTCCCGCTCTCCATCATCTCCGATTCCCCGAAGATGAGCTCTGCTGAGAAGGGCTAAGGTCCAAGCTACGAGGTAAAAATTCGGTTAATCTTCTCAGATATAAATCAGGGATTTCCCTCATCCCTCAAAAGGAAAATCTTTCTCTACTTACGGCTCGCTGGAGGGCTGATCCCCTTGAGGGCATAGTCCGGCCGAGGAACTCCTCGGCATAGGACCGTCTGATGAGGATTTTCCCCCCGCTTCGAGGCCATGGTCTCCGGGTCGTCAGAGACGGCTCTCTTCTTCCCCTTAGGAGAGGAATTGTCGATTCCTCCCTTCGGATTAGCCTCCTTCAAGGAGGCCATAGTTTCCTTGTCCTCCCCTTTACTTCCCTCCAAAGGCATTATCTTCAGCATCCTGACCAGCGCGGGATCCGGCCTGGTTTCGGGAAGGGGAGCCGGACACCTGATCAGCTTTGCCTTCGCTATCCACTCCTGTTTAAAAGAATAGCTCTTTTAGGGGCGAGTTTATGACAATTACACGAATAGCAGGTCCGGGCACAAGGTTACTTACTTGAGTATCCGGGCGATTGCAGCTTAGGCCTGCGTCCTCGGTTAAATCCGAACACATCTCTTGTGATACGAAGAACAATTTGTACATCTCCTCGGGCGTTGTGCCCATGAAATGCTAGAGAGCTCGCGGTCCCTCTGGATTGAACTCCCACAGGCGAAGGGGGCGACGTTTGCCGGGCAATATTCGGCGAATCAGCATGACCTGCGTCACCTTGACCAGGTTAAGGTCTCCTTCCAAGAGATCCCTAATGCGGCCCTGCAGCAGGGGCACGTCTTTGGGTAACCCCCAATCTAACCCTCCGTTGACCCATGACGTTAGCTGTGGTGGGGGACCCGAGCGAAAGGCCGGAGGCGCCACCCACTTGGTGCCCCGGGGAGCGGTGATATAAAACCACTCTCGTTGCCACAAGCCAAGCTCCTCTTGAAAAGAGCCCTCGGGCCATGGAGCATCGGCATTCTTGCTTATAACAGCGCCTCCGCACTCTGCGTGCCGTCCCTCGATCATCTTCGGCTCCACTTTAAAGGTATTGAGCCATAATCCGCAGTGAGGGGTAACACGGAGGAACGCTTCACACATGACGATAAATGAGGAGATATGGAGGATGGACTCCGGAGCTAAGTCATGGAATTCCAGCCCGTAATAAAACAGCAGCCCCCTCACAAAGGGATCCATCGGGAAGCCTAACCCCCGAAGGAAGTGAGACATGAACACCACGCTCTCACCCGGGCTGGGGGCTGGGAACGACCTGCCCTTGAGCAGGCAACCTGTGCGGAATTTCGCCGGTCAGGAACTTAGCCTCTCTTAACTTTAGCATGTCCTCCTCCGTGACGGAGGAGGGCCTCCATCGGCCTTGAAGGTTAGAACCGGACATTGTCGAAGGTTTGAATCGCCTAGAATCTGGAGCCTAGGGTATTGGAACTCGAGGCGACGGGCGAACTCGCTTGAGATTGAAAAAAGGAGTAAGGCCTTGGTCTCTTTATAAGAGGTTGAATACCAAGAGCCCTCCCCGCAACCGTTTGCGACTCGCCTTTAATCGAGGAAACGTGCTAACGGGCACGATTGGGTTACCCACGTCCGTATTGATGAGAATCCCGTAAAAGGGGCACACGATCTCTGCTTTGACAAGACGTGCCAAGGAAACCGCCTCGCAAAACGTGCTGAGGTGGAAAAGTAAAAACGATTCGAGTAAAGGACTTGGCCGTAGTGTGATGACGCACTGCGGAATACATCAGCAGATTTGATTTGTGTTAATATTATTCTCTCTATGGCAATGTGTGGAAACTTGTTTTGCAGAGCCGGACACTATCCTTGGTGTTTACAATCTTCTATGAAGGACTTGGAGGAGGAACCCGCCTTGCAATGCCGAAGACAATCTGCGCGCCGGACTCGTCGTCATTGAAGCCTGGTTCAGGGGCTACTGAAGGAGTCCTGGATTAGGGGGTGTTCAGGTAGCCGGACTATACCTTCGCCGGACTCCTGGACTATGAAGATACCAGATTGAAGACTTCGTCCCGTGTCCGGATGGGACTTTCCTTGGCGTGGAAGGCAAGCTGGGCGATGCGGATATTCAAGATCTCCTACTCTTGTAACCGACTCTGTGTAACCCTAACCCTATTCGGTGTCTATATAAACCGAAGGGTTCTAGTCCGTAGGACAACGACCATCAACTCCATACACAATAGCTTCTAGGGTTTAGCCTCCTTGATCTCGTGGTAGATCTACTCTTGTACTACCCATATCATCAATATTAATCAAGCAGGAGTAGGGTATTACCTCCATCGAGAGGGCCCGAACCTGGATAAAAACATCGTGTCCCTTGTCTCCTGTTACCATCCGGCCTTGACGCACAGTTCGGGACCCCCTACCCGAGATCCGCCGGTTTTGACACCGACAAGGACCTTCGTCGACCCCGCATGGGCTCTACAGAAGCGGAGAAGCCCCCTTCCACCATCATCTTCGGCTTCGGCAGTGGGGAAGCAAGCCATCCTTTGCGCTGAAGCATATACCTCGGGGGCTCCCAGCAGTCCAGTGATCGTGTTGCCGGACATGAGGAACACAAATGGATCGGCGGGCGACCATTTAGGCCAGGTATTTCATATAAACAATGTCGGAATTCATATAATATACCTATGCTGTCTAGAACTAGCACCGCTTACTTGATTTGAATGTAATGAAATCCGTCATATTTGTATGAAAATCCGGTATTTTATATGAATTCTGACATTATTTATATGAATTATCACCGTGTTTGCATGAATTTCGTTCGGTTGGTTGAGTTGTTGTCAGAATGTGTGCGATTACGGTTGGATGGCATAATATGCGGGTCGCCGGTCGGTCTGCGGCCGGCTCGGGCAGCGTGATGGGACAAAAAAAGCACAGCTCGTGCGAGCTCGTCTCCAACGTGCGCACTGGAGGATGCATGAGCACCCGAGCCATTCCTCGTTCATCAGTGGCAAAGGCACCGGTGGACAAAAGGGTCGCCAATGTTTTTGCTACCCCGGGCAAGATCCAAACAGCCCCTCCGAGCAGATTCAAATCCCTCATTCACCATGAAATTTTGCCATGTCTTGTTTTCATGGACTGGCAAGATGCCCATGCATTGCACGAAACATCAAGGTGCATTTTTTTACAGAGCACCTTTTGTGCTTGACCCATGCAGGAGTAATCCCATGTGTAGAAACTAATGATGTCTCGAGAATTTTATCAGAAAAATGGTATATCGAGAATTTCATCGAAAAAATGATATCTCGAGAAAGATGAGAGATAAGGTGAGGAGGAGTGGGGCGTGGTGGTTACTGGTGGTCGTACTGGGCGGAGGCATGGGGATGGACGGTGCATTATGTCTAGGTTTGTATCTCTCTCACACACACCCACGTAGGTGGGGGACGTGCACGAAGAGAAGAGGTGCACGCACGATGCACGTACTCCCATCTCTTCCCCAACCACACCCGCGCGGGCACACGGTGGAGCTCATTTCTATATGAAAAAGCAGCCCACGTGGTAATTTGACACGTGTGTTCGTTGTCCACTTGATGGAGGATCCTCTATCACGGGTGAACAAACAAATTGCGACTTGACGCGTTATGTTAAAAAAGAGGCAAACCATGCGGGGCCTACCTTAGAGGCAAGGCTCTATACACTCGAGATGCTCTATACGTATTACTTTTGATGTGTCCCGTTAACTCGCGGAATAAGGAGAAGCTTGCTTACTACGCCGTCTCCCCCGCCCACGGGCGCGGTGTCTCGCAGGACGAGGTGAAGCTTGCTTACTACTACCTCCGTCCTGGTTTATTGGTCCCCATTGTATATTGTGTCAAATTTTGACTATAGATTGAACTAACAAAACGTTCGTGCATGTTACCAAAAATTATATCATTGAAAACTATGTTGAAATATGAATCCGATGATATAATTTTTGTTGACAAGAATTAATATTTTGTTAGCTAAATATTTGGTCAAATTTTGGCACGAACTACAAAGGTGACATATAAACCAGGACGATGGTAGTAGTACTACACCTTACGCCCGCTCCCTCGCCCACGCGCGCGGTGGCTCACAAGATGAGGAGAAACTTTTACTACTCCCTCCGTTTACTCCTCGTCCCTACCTTGGTTAGAGAGATTATCATATTGTTTGGAATATATGTCTTTTAGTAGTA